TGCATTATATTTCTGTAATAAAACAGATTGTAATATGTGTGGTGGTATCTTACATTACCTAAACGCCTAAAGATCTAAAGGCGTCTGATCACAGGCATCCTGCTGAATTGCCTGAAAATTGAGCACTTATTTTTTAACATTTAATTTTTTATCCGATTAACCGATTAATCGAACTTAATAATCGGCTAACTAATCGATTTTGAAAATAATCGTTAGCTGCAGCTCTATATGTGACGCCCTTGGGACCCTCTTCCCCCATGTTCGCCCAAAGTCAACCCGTTGGTGTCAGAATACAATAGCCCGGTGAGGGGGGGATTTTACCATCCACACTATTTAACAGGATGGGGGAATATGTTAAAAAAAGTCTTACATTCTAGTGATTGGCCATATTAAGTAGTGAACCGTTTTGGTGGTCCTATCCCAACCCTACTAGACGCTTCGAAAAAGGAATACTGAACTCATGTTGTGCTAAGTAAATTCACTTTATAAGGTGTCAATCTGCTTTTACTGAAAGCCACATATGCCCAATTGTTAAAAACAAACTGAACAGAGGTGATTAAAGTACAAATGAAGCCAGAACAGGAATCGATGGGAAGTCTTTTATTAGAGACATTAGTTCTGGTGACCCTGATGACCACCAAAGATTTCCTTAATTTTGGAGGGATTTCCTCTCACTTCCTGTTGTGGCTATCAAACAGGAAGTGAAGGAAAATCTCCCCAAAAGGGACACAGATGGCATAAAAAAAAGCTGACAGGGGTTATAACCCTCCCTTACTGTATCCAAAGCTAAATAAAAAGTTTTGGTTTCAGCTCTATTTTAAAGCAGAACTCTGGCTTTTTTGAAAAAAATACTTTTCTAAGGTCACTAGCTGTGAAATGATGTCTGTGGAAATCCTAGAGGAAACATTCAACGCCTCAATTAATTTAGACCGCCTAAGACCCACAAGGAAGGAGCACAAGGGCTGCATGAGGCACAAGGAAAGGTAAGTTTAAAGGCAAATGCCACTTTTTATAAAAACATTTTTTTTTTAAAATACTAAATGCGCACACTTTATCATAAAAGAAAAAATGTTCATTTATTATTTTTTTGCATTGGAGCCAGTAAAAGATTGCAACCGCAATCAGTGGATTGTAGGTGCAATGCCCTGGCTGCTGCAGACTGTTCCTCCCGTCCATGTCCATATCGAGGAACGGAAGAAGTGTTAGTGGAACACAAGTACAATGACGTTCCCGGACTTGCATTCCATTGAAACGACAAGTCTCTCTGCCGCAGTGGAAGGTGGGACTTATAGTTCTTCCTACCAGACGCTACTGTGTGGGAGAAGCCACGCACAGCTGCACCAAATTCAGACAACAGCGTCAGCATGTGGGGAGAGGAACCCCGCAATTCAGATAAGTGGGGAGACAGAAAGGGGGGTGGGGGTCTGCTATCTTACCATGTTTAATGTTACAGCCTAAATATGGGTGTAATATGAAACATGGCCAAAAAGGTGCACTTAGCCTTTAATATGCCAACATAGAATGGTTGTTGAGAACGGTTCTCTGTAATTCCTTGCACAGGTACATATAGAAAATAATACTTACCTCAGTCAGACCTATGTGAGGCTTTTTGATAAGGTTCTGCAATCCGCTGCTTAAGGTTCTTGTGAGAAGTAGGTTCGTTGATTTCCTTAGCATATCATCAATTTCTGTCGAGCTGGAAAAGGTCAGGAAAACATATGTATTAAACAGCACGGAACACCGAGAATACATCCTAAAATATGAATGAGATAAAATGTCCACAGAACGGCCTTTGTCTGCGGCCGCTGGTAACCCCATCATTTCTGGGTTTCTTTCCACTCCAGGCGCCACCAGCAACAAACCTTTGACTCCTGCTCTCTGACACTGCCTCAACTGGGAATTATTAAAACCCCGCAATATGACTGTTTCTTTGTCTGCAGACTTATCTCCGAATCCATCAAGCAGCACATAACAAAACTAGATTTCTGCTTTACAAATGCGTAAGAGAAAAAATGTAAAAATAATCCTATTTAGATTAGCTTCTGTCCCTGTCTTAGCCTCAAACAAACCCCGAACTTGTCCAGTGAAAAAAAAAAAAAAATGTTACATGAGATTATTCAGATCTGATGGAAATTATATCTTGAAGTGTAGCTGTCATCAACACACAGCAGGGGCTGCCATAGTGTGCACTGAACAAGTGATCTACCCATTACAGTTACAGAGCTCATTCCCTCCTCCATATATATCATTTGTGCCCAGACACCTACTACTAATGACACATTTAAATATAACATTGATAATTGTAATAATAATTTGAACAACAACAATAATAATAATCATATTAGTAGTAGTAATAATAATAATAACAATCATATTATTATTATTTATTTTTTTAATTCAATACTTTTTTTAATTTTAATAATACAATACATAAGACAGACTTATACATCCATAGTTACATATTAGAACAGCAATACAGAACAGATGACAATACGTACATACCCAGAAAACAAAGCAAAAAAAAAAAGCCCTCTTTTTTTTTATAAAACTAATTTTCCTCTCAATATACCATATTTCTTAAGCCACGTTACTCCTCAAAATACCAATAATAATAATAATAAAAACAACAATCATAGTATAATGGGGCTACGGTTGTGTCTAGGTGCAAAAATAACAAAGTTATACTCACCTGAACCTTTGAGCCGGCTTGTTTTTAGACCGGTCTTTCCAGCCTGTCTCCTCCTCCTTTGCAGCAGTCTAAGGTCCCTGAGTCATCACGTTCTATACATAGTGTATAGGACGTGAGGACACCGAGGGACTTACCATCACTGCAGCAGAGGAGGAGACAAGTTGGAGGGAATGCTGTAACAAACGGTCAGCTCTGAGGATCAGGTGAGTATGACTTTGTTATTTTTGCACCTAGACACAAACAAGCACTTAACCCTTACAGTGCAGGGGTAGCCCCACTCCAAGGGTTAAGAAAGAGTTTGCCCGGAGTTCTTCTATCAAGATGGTGAGGTCACTATGTTGCCCTAAAGAAGGGATCCTTTGTGGTCCCGAAATGGTGACGCTTTATGACAAATTGTGACAATAAACTGAACCATGATTTATGACTCTACTCGGTGTGTGTGTGTGTGTGTGTGTGTGTGTGTGTGTGTGTGTGTGTGTGTGTGTGTGTGTGTCCTGTGTGTCTGATCAACAATTAAAGATAACAAGGCAGATGCCTAAAACTCCACCAAGTGGCCAGATCAGTTGGCCTCCTTTTTGAAACATCTTGTTAAGACTAATATGTATAACTTCAAGAACAAGTCCAAACCTTCACAGCTATAGGGACTGAGCAAACAGTCATGAGACTGCTGGGAAACACTTTAAAGTGACACTAAACTCAGAAGTTAATTCTTAAAAATGCATTCAAATATCTCAACTATATATCGTATTTGTGTATCACTCGGCTTTAGATCCTCAAATCATCTCTGACATTGTCCTTCCTTCTGGAGGGTGGCTACTTTTGTTCCCCATGGTCCCTGTGTGTGTTGTAAAGAAGTCACTGCTCCAAGCTCCCGCCCGTGATGGACTTCAATCTCAATACAAATTAGTAAATTCAACATGAGATTGTAGTCCAGCTTGAACTGAGCTTGGAGCAGTGGCTACTTTACACACACAGGGACCATGGGGAACAAAAGTAGCCCCCCTCCAGAAGGAAGGACAGTGTCAGCACCAATTCAGAGATGATTTGAGGATCTACAGCCGAGTGATACACAAATAAGGTCCAGTATTGTTAATAGTGAAGGTACTTGAATGCATTTTTAAGAATTAACTTCTGAGTTTAGTGTCACTTAAAAAATCAAAAAGAAAACCATTTTTATATTGGTCCTGTGTGCAAATGATACCTATTGCCTCTGGACTATTAACCACACGGTTTCTGACTTTGTTTAATTTAAGCTGACACCAGATCGTATCACAACAGGGTGCCGCTGAGTTGTTGTGCGCACACGTCAGATAATTAGCGCGGTCACACTTCATAATTACTGTAGTGGGTTATTTCTTCACCTCTCGCAAACTGTTTGTCTAGTTTTTGACAAGCAGTTAGTTCGGCGTATATTCTACCTGTGTTTGGTCAGTAAATATTTACAGGTTAGGTCAAAAGGTTACTCGTTACTATGTGTAAATTGTCCTCGGGATCAATTAAGGATGTGTGAAGCTACGCTCATTTCCATTCATTAACAGATAAGAAATGAGAGATAAGCTGGAAGGTGGCTTCTGGCTGCTGTGTTTTCAAGCTGAGCTCTCAAATGTTATTCTATCTGATTGAAAGCAGGCCAGGTAGAGAGAGACAATTACAGAGAATGCGTATCACAATAGAACAGGTTAATCTGCTCAGACTAAACAAACAGCTCATTTTGTCAGTGTTCATATACGGTGTAGAGGACACAGATGAGCATTAGACGAGATGCTGGGCAGTTCAGGATACTTTCATTCTCCCTGCTCTGATGCGGTTTTAGATTTAGAATAAAAAGGTCAAACCTACAATAGATTCAGGGTGGATTTTGGCAGGATGAGAAACCGACAGAAGGTTTTAAGCCGCGAGATACTTGCACAGAGGAACAAGAAAGAGGATACTTGCTGCACTCCTTACCGGGATTCCCATATGGATATGCAAACGGGTGCATGAAATGACTACGGATGGCGCCGCCACATGTATATAGTTGAAGAATGTCACCAGCACTCCAAATCTATGACTACATCAAGTGTTCGTTTATTGATGTATGCTTTCTCTCGGTTGCAAGTGCTTTCAGCTCCACACAGGGTCCCCTTTATCAGGCTCATCTCCGAGCCTGATGGAGGGGACCCTGCATGGCAGCGAAAACACTTGCAAGTGAGAGACAGCATACGTCAATAAATTAACACTTGATGTAGTCATGGATTTGGTGTGCTGGTGACATTTTTCAACTATATACTTGCACAGAGGGTCCCAGCTTCACTTACAGGAGCATCTGTTAAATTCAGGTATTTTGGGAATTAGCATTTTCTTTAGAACCTAAGCTGGCCATACACTGTTATATTTGTTTTGTTCAACCTGCGGGCTGAATGAAAAATATATAATGGATGGATTCCTCCATACACATTAAACAGAATGAATGGACTGGGCGATTTTGCTGGCGCAAGTTTGCCGTAGTCAGAATACTCGGACAGTGATGGCAGTTGATTGGCTGCCGTCACTGTCCGATCAGTTTCCATCTTGCTCCATTGATTCTCTGATTGCAGGATGCTGGATAGAAGGATGCCAACAGGGCCACCCACTGAATGAATTTCAGCCAGTTTACCAAGAATTCTCTAGTGGAAATAAAGCATAAGTCGTAGCTGAAATCCGGTATTCCCATTTCAAAAAGGCTGACTCTTTCACCCAGAGGTGGGCAAATCTGGCTCTCCATGTGCTTTTACTACAAATCCCAACCTGCCTCTAGGAGTCATAACTGTAACTGCTGTAACTGTCAGTCTTGCAACGCCTCATGGGGCTTGTAGTTCTACAGCAGCTGCAGGGCCAGAGTTGCCCACCCCTGCTTTAACCCTTTCTCTAACATGTGCCAGCTCACACTTTTGATGGCTGAGCTACATTTCAAAACACAGATGTTACAGCTGGACAACAATGAAAAGGTTCAATATTAAGGGTTACGTTTACCCTTAGGACCATGCTTCATGTTACACCTATATTCAGGGTGTAACATGAAATATGGTCACATTACAACCACTCAAACATGACTGCAAAAATGGAAGTACACTTAAAAATTCAGAATTGTTGAACTAAATAAATGATGATTGATAACAGTATTGATAAGTAAACTGATCACAGGAAACGGTAAAGCAATGTTTTTTTAAAGAAAACAGTTGCCCTTTTAAGTTATCCAAATACCCCGCAAAATTGCTGAAATCATTTAATTTCCATGGTGACCTTAAAGCAGAACTCCGGGCAAAAATGGTCTTAGCCCTTGCAGAGGGGCTACCCCCATACTGCAAGGGTTAAGTGTTCATTTTTTTCTGATGCTAAAAAAAAAAAAGTTATACTTGCTGCAGTGAAGGGGGAGCCTGTCTCCCCCTCCACTGCAGCAATCTACGGTCCCTGAATCATCACATTCTATACACTGTGTATAGGATGTAAGGACGCCCAGGGACATACTATGTTGCAGCGGAGGGGGATTCAGACATCAGGGAACGGAGTAGCAGATAGATGGCTCCACGTTTCGCATGAGTATAACTTTTCTTCTTTTTTTTTAGCGCCTAGACGAAAACAAGCACTTAACCCCTGCAGTGCAGTGGTAGCCCCACTGCAAGGGCTATGAACATTTTTGCCCGGAGTTCTGCTTTTAAGTGCACCTACAGGGCAAATAAAAGTGGTCAGATTACTAAGGTGAAGAGCAATGTTAGGAATGCAGTGACTTATGTCCCCCATTTTAGGCCTTCTAATACCAGTTAACATTGATAAAGCATATTTATAGGGCTTTAATATTGTGCAATATATCTTTGTATTATGTCACTACCGACCGCCGGTTATTATCCATCTTTTGTAAATGATGATGTAAAACAAAATATAAGCATGCATACCTTCGATGAAGCGATTCCGAAAATTTAAGGCTTGCATAAATAAATTCTTTAACTTGCATATAAATCTGTGGGACTGAATGAGACATGGGGAGCTTCTTTGGAAAGGATAGCTGAAAAATAAAGTTGTCATTAGTCTCATGCACACATAACCTTTATAAAATCTAAAGTCCGTGATAAATAGAAACTCTTCCTTATACAACCAAACCCCATACTACAGGGACTTCATGTGTCCCTCAATGGATGAAGAAGAAACAAATACATGTAAAGAAGAAATCGTTTTTTTATCCATAGCAACCAGACATCCCATTCCACTTCCTCATATGGGTACTGGGATGTGGGGAATCGGTTGCTTCAGGAGACAACTGTTCTCTCAACACACCTTTGTAAGTATTGCTTACCTTGTCACCTTCGGGATCTTGAAAAGGAAATCTGCTGACTACAGCTCTGTACTCCTCTTCATTAGCTACTGGGATAGGGCTGTAGTTGTCGGCCTCAAAAATGTCCCTATAAGCAGAAAAACAAGATGGTGCTGCGTGTTAAATGAGTAAAGTATTTGAAATATTCGCCAAACTTTCAGCCTTTACTGTATAATGGAGTAGGAATATCTAAACGCTAATAAATAGCAGTGTGTGCCTATATTATAATGAACCATGCTGACTTTATTTTAGGGCACCTGTAAAGGAAAACTTTAAAAGCGGACCTTTACCCCTTTCACTTAAAATCATCTCAGCATGCAGCTCTGCATGCTGATTTCTTTTACATACAATTATTGTTTTTCCACTTCCTGGTCCTCTTGGGCATTAGTGATGTTATCTGTGCCCAAGAGTTGCAAGAAGATTACATCAGCAGTGCATTGCTGGGAATCTCATCTGTAAACAGCAAAATCTCAGAAATATACATTTTTCTCCTTTGAGATGATGTGCATGGTCACATGTCCTAGTCATATGTGACAGGGAGCTATATTAATCTTCCCTTAGTAAAAAGGATGGCCACTGTGAGAAGAATGGGGAGGAAAAGAAAAATAAGGTATGCAAAGAATAAAAATTATATAGAAGTATCTGTTTGTAGATTGTCATTTCTAAACATTTCAAAAGGTGTTTTTTTGTTGTCAATTCAAAGTTATGGGTAAAGTTCCTCTTTTATACTTGTTTGTGCCACTGCCTGCGCCACCAATCTTCAGAAAGAACAGCAGATAGCAGGGGAATCAATAGTCAGCCTGCTATTGGCTATTTCAAATTGCAATAGCCAATAGCAGCCTGGCTATTGCACCCGCTGCCTACTCTATTATCAATCAGAAGAGGAGTGGACCTTGCAAATTGAAATAGCCAGTAGCTGAATGGCTATTGCTCCCAACCACTGTGGATCAATTCCTCCATCATGTGCGCTCCTCTGCTGATTGACAGCAGGCAGTGGGCGGGTTTAATAGCCAGGCTGCTATTGCACTGCCCACTGCCTGCTGTTTACATTCAGCTGCCAGCTGCAGAATCCTGCTGCCAGCAGATGAATAGGGCGGGGGGCGAGAGGGTGACTGATACCAGGCGACTGCCTGCTGTTTATATTCAGCTTCTGGCGCAGCTGGATGTAAACAGAATATCGTTACGTGATATCGGTTATCGGCCTAAAAGGTGGGCCATAATCGGTATCGGTTCTGAAAAATTGACATCGGTCGACCCCAAATCCAAAAGCCCCAAAATGCCTCTATGGGTGGATGTCAGTCTAGAGGCGTAGGCATTCCTAGACAGACTGCATTTGCATGCACACCACCCTAGGTAATGCCCATATGTGATACTGAGCCTTCATGATTGAAAGAACTGAAATCCAATGAATGAAAAGGGGGGGCCAGGGACAGTAAGGCTGGGGAGGAAAGTAAATGAGGCGGGCTATGACTTGCTGCAGCTTCTAATTTACATTGTGAGAAGCTCACAGTGTGGAGTGAAATTAGAGTAAGCAATTTCAGTACAGGAGAGGAGCCTCTACAACTGTGCAAGACTGAAGGTAAGGTCGGAGTTCAGTTTTAAGGGACCTGCCGTCTCAATTCTGAAATCAGACTGTAAAGTATAAAGCGGAGCATACTAAGTCCCGGATAGGTACAGATCAAAGAGGGGTGAACTCCCTGAAACTGGAGTTCTGCAGATAATAAAGCCTCTACGAGCTTTGTGGACTACTCTATGGACAATCCATACTTCCCTTAGCACTGCTAGTGTTTGTTCTAGTGGTGTATCTCGAGCAAACATTGGATATACATGTGTCTGTATGTATTAAGGAGAGTGGAAATCCTGACATGTACTATATATACATATTGGTGGAATTGGGATTATACATTTTCCTGTTTTAGCACCATTTCATTTGCACAAGGAGGCAGTGTGTTTATCAAGTAAGGCTTTGCATGATTAAAGGGGGATTAGCCTGACAACACACCCAGTGCACATCAGGATACAATTTGGGTTTGCGAAGAAAACAACATAAATAAGTTTGCTATGTTCAAACGTTGGATATATAAATGATTGGGCCATACAGTGGGGAGAAAACAATGGATAAGTTGCTTGAGATATGTGGCAAGCTTTGGAACCATAAACAAACATGAATCTACAATAGAGCATATAGTGGATTATGTACATATCAGGTTTACAGAATTATGTGGGTTTAGGGATTTAAAATGTATTTTCTATGAGCAGAATAATCTCTTTTTGGGTATGTAGAGGAAGGTAGAATCCTGTAAATATCACACTTCCTGTTCTTAGGTGGCTAGGCTCACTTCTTCATGTAATCTATAAAAAGGAGCCACAGGTGTTTCCCTGGCTGAACTTCAAACATGTCTGTGTTTTTCATCTCCATTACATATGGGATGATGGGTTTGGTAGTTTACATTGAAGATACAAATGTTTTGCTTTCTATCCAGCTCACAGGAAGAGACAAGGACAAGATCAACAGGTAGTACCTCCTGTAAAGGTTCTTAGCCTGAAAATTACAATTAATGCAGCCACCACATCGAAGGACTGGAAAGCTGCAACATGTTAAATTTTTTGTTCTTGGTTTTAGCAATCCTTTAAAGAAGATCTCCACTATATCTTTCTAATCTGATCACAACATTACCAGAATGCAATTTGTGAAAAACATAGCTTTCAGTAAAAACAAAAACAAATAATGTTAATGGATTCCCTATAAAGTGGAAGAAAAAACAAATAGGAACTGTGTGTGTTCACTCCTCTTCCTCGTGAGTGCAGCCCAGCTGTAAGATGTTGGAAATGAAAGCACGGGTTCTAACATCCTTAAAGGTGCCCACACACCTTGCGATTATCGTACGATAATCGCGGTAAATCCCGCGATCATACGATAATCGCAAGGTGTGTGGAAGGCGTGCGACCATTTCTAGTGTACGGTCGCACGACTTTTATCTTAGGAACATGTTTGAAAACCCGCCGAGAATCGTACGATCGTCGGCGGGTGTGTCGCATGCTCGTAAGATAAATGCCGAAAGGGCCGGTGTCCGCAAGTGCACACTGCCCGTTCAGCATTGCGGTCATCGCAAGTACGACCTGCCTGTCCAAGATGGGCAGATCGTAAGTTTTTTTAATTACCTTACAACCCTCGCAAGACAAAAGTCTTGCGAGGGTTGTAAAGTGTATGGCCACCTTTACAATGATACCTCCATGTTCTCCACTAGAGTGTTCAGCAGTGTGGAAGCACAAATAATCAAAGGAAATCATTAAAAGCTTGCATTCTACCAAAGTAACCCCCAATAAAATTGTTGCTGTAACTGCTTAAAAAGTGTTAGCTGGTGTTTGGATTCAATTTGTTGGCAAGCCCATCTAAATCCGCTAGTCCATCTAATGCTACTCTCTCTACAGGGTGACAATGCTGCTGTCCAAAGGTGGCTCCACTGTTCCTCCAGAGTAGAGCCATCTTAAGAGAGGAAGTGTGTTACTGGCCGGATCACCATGTGAAAAAGAAAAAAAAACAAAGACAAAAAGAAAACAAATGCAGCCACCACATTAAAGGATTAGTAAGCTGCAATATATAACATTTTTGTTTTTGGGTTTAAGTTATGTTTGTGATTTCTAATACAGAAACCAGGTTTGGTGAAGTTCTTGTTTAAAATGAAGGTAGTATAGTAGTAAATCTTATTCTTCAGCATTCATTTGACTTCCTGTCCAATAACAGAAAAATACTGAAATTACTCCTTCTTTTAGCCTAACAAAGGACAGCAGGCTACATAACAAAGTCTGTCTGGGAATCTTTATATTTGTGAATGTTATCGGTAGGTCTGCACACATTATACTTTTAGACTTGCATATCTTTCTGGGTTAAACCAAGAAATACCTGAACACCCCAGCCCATTTTTTCAGTAGAGTTTCATTATATTTGTCTCTGACTTCATATAAAAGATCGAACAACCGATTTACAGGAAATCCATATCCCTGAAAAAGAGAAAGACGCATTTCAGTACAAAATGAACAAGTGACACATGAATGGCCTTTAAAAAGATAAAATCTTCCAAAATACAATACAATTCTACAATCTTATGGTATACAATAAAAGTAAAACCGCTGCAGCACTTTAAATGGAATGAACTGCAAACATACTGCTACTACACATTTATAAAGCACTGCAGTAAATATGGCAGTGGTTAGGTCATACTGATGCTTTCCTATTAGAATCTACTCCATCACATGTACAAAGCACTGCAGTAAATAAGGCAGTGGTTAGGTCAAACAAATGCTTTCCTGTTAGAATCTACTCCATCACATTTATAAAGTACTGCAGTAAATATGGCAGTGGTTTGGCCATACTAATACTTTCCTATAAGAAGTTCCTCTTGTGTGCTTTGCGCTTAGTTTTCATTGAAACTCAGGAGCAATCAAAATCCCATTCATTCTACTGGATGGGGAAAAAAGGGTGCTAGGAGGAGGAAGAAACGTGTCACATGATCTGAAACAGGTCATGTGACAATGCTCGCCTATTCATGAGTGTACTCTGCAGCAGTACAGTTAATTCTTACATGTCAGAGCTACACTGTAAACTGCTAAAGAGCTAAACACGCTGATTTGTTTCTTTTATTGGCATCTAGTAATGTCTTGCAGAGAGCAGAAAATCTTAAGACTATGTGTGAGAGAAACAAGATTTTACTGACCTGCAGAGTATCAGCAAACACCACGATCAGATTCTTCAGCTCCAAAACCAGATCAGGGTCAGTGCAGTATGACTGTAAATGAATCGAATATGAGAATCACTGAATATGGCACATTGCTATGTGGGTTAACAAAAATATTTAGAATGATTTTGAAAGAGACAGCACTAGGGCTAACTGTCACAGGCAGAAAAGGTACAGTCGGTTACTCTATCTATTAATGTTATCAATGAAAGATTAGCTTTTTATATATGGCTAGAATAAGCGTACACTTTAAGTGTTTGGAAGAGGTCAAAAAAATGTGAAGTAGAAAGAAGGATTTTATAACATGAATTATGCAGCAGAAGCTTATCTCTCCTGTTTCAGATTGCTTGGCCCAGCTCCATCTTCTTCAAAGTGGTGTAAAAGCCATTGGCACTGGGTTACACCTGAACAATGCGGACTGTCGAGTTCTCTAAACTGTCCTGACTACTAGAACTTTCATGTTAAAAAGAAGCACTCTATGCTGTAATTACAGGTGAAACTCGAATAATTAGAATATCGTGCAAAAGTAATTGCAGTAAGTGCTGCAAAAGGGGCCCAAACCAAGTACTGAGTACATATGCATGCTTGTACTTTTCAGAGGTCCGATATTGTTCTATGTACAATCCTTGTTTTATTGATTGCATGTAATAATCTACTTTTTTGAGGTTGTGGATTTGGGGTTCTTGGGGTTTTCATGAGCTGTAAGCCATAATCATCACAATTATGCCAAATCACGGCTTGAACTATCTTGCTTTGCATGTCATGAGTCTATCTCATATATTGGTTTCACATTTTAAGTTGCATTAGTGAAATAAATGAACATTGCACGATATTCTAATTATTCGAGTCTCACCTGTATGTCAATACTATGTGTAATTACACACAACTCTGGGCCAAGATAAACCATACTTGATAGTCTATCTGAATTTAAAAAATATTGGTAAAAGCTGTAAAAATTAATGTAATATTGACTTTAAAGCAAAACCTGTCATTAGAAAAAAAAATCAATATGCACAAATAACTAGAAATACCATAGGGGGAAATCACATAGCTTGCAAGTCAGAGCATAGACACGTTTTCCTAAATCCCATATGGCAATACCTAAGCCTTTTAACAGATAACTAGCCTTCCTTTACATTAGGTGTCCTACCTTCACAACAGGAGCCCCCCTATACATCAGAAGCTCCCCCTTACAAGGGTCTGCCTGCACCATGAAAATGCAGGGCGCTGTGCAAACTTTGTGGGCACCCCTGAGGAAGTCGGACAGAGCTCTGAAGACCTCTCTAAATAATAAATGGATAGCTGTATTGTAATATGAAGGCTGAATTAAACAATTTTATATATGTTTTTGCATTTTGTGCTTTTTTTGTTTATATGTTGTGTGATTTACTCCCTATAGTTGCCTACAGGTACTGGCCATTGCAGAGGACATAAAGGTGACGGAGAGGTTTGCGGTCTGAATCTATTGAATCATACCTGTCTGGTACCTATAGCGACCAAACAGCCCTGACAGGTGAGCACTGCAGCAAACAATGATAAATATACCCTCAGGGCATATTTATGAGCTTGTTTTATGTGTGTTACTTCATGTGTTTAAACTCACCTTTTTTTTTTGATCATGTATTATGTAAAGTGAAGAAGAAATATCTAGATCAGGGATTGGACATGGTGCAGATGCCTATAAAATGCCCAAACTGCATGATAAATGAGTTTGTGTATTTGTACTGGCCCTGTACAATTTGTGTAAACGCGTAAATGTCCATTTAAAAAAAAAAAAACTGCCACATAGTAATAAAAGGGCTTTCTACATGAAATCCAATTTGATGCAGTAAAATGTTTGTGTTTTACTGCAGGATAACGACAAGTGTGAACAGGCCTCAAGGCATCATTCACACTAGTAGGACATACTGTACCTGTGTTAATTTGAGCATAATAAAATAATTGGAATGTAATAAATGGTGCAGTTCCCATGAATAACATTCACACTACCAGTACATACCTCTGGTAATGTGCAGTGTAATAAAATAATTGGAATGTATTAAATGATGCAGTTCCCATGAATAGTGTTCATACTAAAAGGACATACCTGTGCTAATGTGCAGTGTAATCAAATAATCGGAATGTAATACATGGTGCAGGTCCCACTGATAACATTCACACTAGCAGGACATACCTGTGCTAATGTGCAGTGTAATCAAATAATCGGAATGTAATACATGGTGCAGGTCCCACTGATAACATTCACACTAGCAGGACATACCTGTGCTAATGTGCAGTGTAATAAAATAATCGGAATGTAATACATGGTGCAGTTCCCACTGATAACATTTACACTAGCAGGATATACCTGTGCTAATGTGCAGTGTATTCAAATAATTGGAACGTATTAAATGGTGCAGCTTCCATAAATAGCGACCTCATGCTTCCAAACGTTTTCTTATGCTTGTCTCCACTGCATGTCAGCAGGCATAAAAAGTGATAATCACTCCTATGTGTAATGTTTATAACTGCGTGCATTTTTAAAAATAGTTTATTGTGTAGCAAATGTATGTAATCTGATATTTTCTGATGTAACTATGCTAACTGATGTAAATAAAATGATGTAAAATTAGGTAAATTCATGTAAAGCACATGAACTGAAATATCAAACAACATAAAACTTTATTTTTATGAAGTGTGCATTTATTATTTTTTGGACTACGCCTTTAATTATTCAGAGATCCAGTACAATACACCAATCATTTGGTTCCCATAACCCCATGTAGGAAACCGCTGCCTTATGGGTAGAGATACTTCTTATATTACTTGACTGTCTAATTACAAACGTCTAATAACTAGTAACAAAGTCAGGCGCTGTAAGACCCAAGTATGACCCCAAAGTCAAGCTCTGTAACGTGACGACATAGACAGTTAAGGCAAGCTATAGAGCTTTACTGGCTGAGCCTATCTTGAGGCCTAGCTATTTGGAATGATAATTAGGAACTATTTCCTGGTGGTGCTCCCAGTACTGAACTATTCAGTCTGTTCTAATGAAGAGGTCAGTTGAGACTAATGAGGACAGATTGCAATAATAACAGCAGATTAACTCTGCATATTCTAAAGTGCAGGACTCAGAGTGAGTTTTGAGGGCCCAGTCAGTTGTAAATCAGAGGAGGATTATGCAAATAGCCCATGGCTGTGGCTCACAGCCTGAGTCTTCTGGGAAAAAACAAAAGCCTGGCAGGTCTCCTCCAAATTCTGAGCAACATCTAATTACAAAAAAGCACCATAATGGAATGCCAATTTCTCACTTTGACATCACTCTTCTTTTCAACGTACAGAAGCCTCTTCTTCGTAAAAGGAGCCCCAAATTGGTGTCACTTACTGAATGTGTGCGTAGGGCGGCTATGATCTTTGACTGCGCCATGGTCCACAGCTCTGTGGTATAGCTTCCCGTTACCAGACCCTGAGTCACATGCAAAATGTGATCTTCCACAACGAAAAACCTGCAATGAGAGTGATGGTAAAAGAATTACATATTTTGCATGAAAAATGACTATAGCCCAACTCCAGCAAAAACGTTTTATTTAGTTTTCCTAAGAACAAGTATCCCCAGGACAGGATATGCAAACTGTTATAAAACTTAGTTTTTTTTTACTTTTCCCAACTGTACTAATAACATTTGTCTTGGGTGCTGTTTTTGCACTCATTGGAAAAATTCTTCATTAGTTCCTGTGCCTGTGTCACCATGTCCCTGGAGTAGTAAGTCAGGCAAATCTCCAAAATGGTGACACAGATAAAAACAAAAATTCTAATAAAGTGTTAGGTTTAAAGTAGGGATGCAAAGATATCGATACTAGCATTGGTGCCGATACCGAGTATTTGGGTGAGTACTCGTACTCCTCCAAATACTCCGATACTTGCCCTCGATATCGGAACTTCCGGTCAGAGAGAGAATTCCTCTGACCAGCAGTGCCGCAATGGAACGAGGAGCCGGCTTTCCGGTCAGTCAGGAAGCCAGGCGGTGTGTCATTACACGCCACCAGGCTTCTTGATTGCCCAGGAACCCGGCCGGGCTGTTTGGTTGGCTCCATGCTGAATGGCTGGGAAGCTGACTTCCCCACCAATCAGCATCGAGCTGGTCAAACAGCATGGACATGGCTTCCTGGGCAATGAAGAAGCCGTGCGGCGGGTAATGACAGCTCCATGCTAGTGAAAGTACCGTTATTGGTACTCGGTATCAGCGCGTACTGAAATATAAATATCGGTACCTGTACTCGATACTGAAAAAAATTGCATCGGTGCATCCCTAGTTTAAAGTGTATGTCAGGTCAAAGTAAATAAATAAATGAATAAATAAATTAAAAATATGCAGCACACCTCTGCAATACATGCACATTTACCCAGGTTTTATCCCTTTAAAGGTCCTATATAGCTGTTGATGTGCCAAATATGCACTCGTCTTCTAAGTCCTGTTGTGGGCTGACAACACACAGTATTTTTATGTGGACTAAGTGTTGTCAGCACTCCCAGTTGTCTTTTGCTGAACTACTCAGACACACCCAAGTCTATTGTACACAACATAAAGGTTAATTGATTTGAAATCCCAAGATAAGAACTAGGAGGGCTCTTAAAGACAGAACAGGAAACAGCACAGCTCTGAATTGTGGACAAGATCAACAATTTTATTTTTGCACTTATTTAACAGCTATAACAAAATGCTTTCAATTTAACAGATCAAAAGGGAGCAAATAAAAGAAGATCATTATAAAGGTTAACATACACTTTAAGGTATTTCCTCTGCATTTCACTGATCACTGTAATTATAGCACATGTAGATGACTGATATGATACTGATAAGAAGCAATTATCTGTTATTAAAGGGCCACTAAACATAAATCACATCATACTCAATAAATTACTTAGGTAAAGGGTTTTTTTTAAACTTATATTTACCTGTGTATATTAAATTCTATCAGTAATAAGGGGGTCACATTTCCAAACACTGTTTATTTCCTGTCTCCTTTAGCCTAATAGGGCAGCTTAAATAGTTCAAAAGACTACCTAACAAAAATAGAAATATCAAATACATAAATTTCAATAGAGGTATGCTATATTTACATATTTTTAGTGAAGGCCTGTTTCATATAATGTAACTTTATATTTTAAATACAGTAGATGCCTCAATGTTGAAAGAAGAGAGGCAACTATTCTTTAGGAGGGCTTAACATCCTTCTGATCACTTTCCCACCCCTCCCTCTCATCTACCTCTAACCCATCCTGATAGGCTTTTGTTTCCCCTCACCTTGTGAAGTCAGATATACTCAACTAAGTTCCCCCTCTAGGTCCCTCACCTTTACTGTTTCCAGGTGGGAGGACCACGAAACCAGCTATGCAATGGCATTTAATATAGCTGGTCCCCTTCACTCCCCCCTGCTGATGTGGGTCGTCTTCTGGATCCTGAGAGGACCCTGGGCAATAGACATTAAACAGGAAGTGTCCATATCATGCTGACACAACCACTTAAAGAAGGACCCAAGCAGGCAGTAACTAAAAGAGTTGAAGACTTGGGGCTACGGCACTTAAGGTGTGTAAAAAAAGGACTTTTAAATAAGGATTTTTTTTTCATCCAGTAATTAGATGGTAGGGCGTGGAAGGGAGAGGTGGAAGGGGGTAAAATGTAACAAGCAGTTGGGCTTTAAAGCAAGCAATGCCATTTTTCTTGTTATCCTATCTAACATTACATGCGCATAGTGGCTATTGGAAACTATTTATTGTTCCCTCTCTCTGTCACAGCTCTTTAGAAATCCCTAGATACCAGCTGTGAAAACTGGAAGTCAGATACTGATGAAGGGTTTGCTCTTACGCAGTTTGTCAGAATACAATGCCATAATCCCACCTTTACTAATGATAGAACCAGGTCAGACAATAGAAAAGTTAAATAAATCCAGCCAATAGGGAAAGGTGGGATGAAGGGACATAAAGCCAAAGTTGAAGTAAGGCATTATACACAGTTTTTTCACAACCGTTATCTAGAGATTGCTGAAGAGATGTGACTCTATGCACAGCGACTACCGTGTTTCCCCGAAAATAAGACACTGTCTTATATTTTTTTTGGCTCAAAATAACACACTAGGTCTTATTTTTGGGGTAGGTCTTATTTTTTTTAAATGTACAACAATCCACACTTATTACCGGTAGAAGATTTACAAGACAGGAGTGAGTGTCAAAGTTAAGAATATGGTGATCAGGGCAATCAGGTGTGTCGTACCTTTCCAAGAGCAATTTGTTAACCATCGCTGGCCAGAATGAGTGAAGCGCGCTTTCACTATTGATTACTCACAGGCGGAGTGCATTTGGTATCACTCCGCCTGTGACAGGAGACGGCTCTATAGGGGAAGCATCGGCTTATGCGGCTTTGCTCCCTCCGCTGCCGCCTTGCTTCCTCTAGCGCTGGCTTTGTTGGCACCGCTGATTCTCTCCCGCGGCTCTTCAAATTCCCCCTTTTGCCACCACTGGCCCAGGGATCGGTCACAACAAGGTCTTATTTTCGGGGTAGGTCTTATATTTTGGCAATTCCCAAAAATAGTACTAGGTCTTATTTTCGGGGTAGGTCTTATTTTCGTGGAAACAGGGTATTAAATGGGTTAGCAAGAGGAATGGCATGGTTTGCTTTAAATAGAAATGCTAATAGTTCCTCGTACCTTGATAAGCTGCCTTCTCTAAAATAGTAGACCACAAAATGGAAATCCTCCACTCTATACATCATTGTTTGATAGAGACCAATGTGTGCCAAAGTCTTACTCTATCTGTTACAATATATTTTGTTTTACATTCCAAAGTATGTAGTGGAACTTCCTGGTGGCTATGGGCAATTTCAGGATCTCCATTGGGGTATCTTACCTATGCAGATCCTGGAAGATAAAAGTAGTCAATGAGCAATTCAGCTCACTTATACGCACGTGGATTGGGGTGGGCTAACCTTTGAAGATCATTAAGCACAGACATGTTTTAATTTTAATCTAATTTCCTAGAAAAATATATAATATGCATATATATTTCCAGGATTCTCCAAGCGACATAATACTTACCCCACAATCTGGCTGAAATACCTTCTGTAGCCCTCAACTGTCTCATGCTATAGTGAAAAAAGAAAACACAGTTTTAAAAGTCTTCATCTAACCACTTTCAGAAATGTTCTCAATAATAATCTTTAAATGATGATACATACCATGTTTGACTGAGGCTGGAGAACTAATCGAGCTTGTTTTTTTCTTTGTTTTCTGTAGTAATTCTCAAATACTTCTTTATCACCCTAAAATGTTAAGAAAAACAAAAATTAGAAGTTTTTTTTCTATACTTCCCTTCTTGATTTTGCACAAAAAAAACCTTGATTAAAGGATCCTGGTCATTGTTTAGATCTTCCTGACTTTACTTACATAAAGATTCAGTAACTCATTTTTTCAGCACAATAACTTAAATACTATCACAATTAGAGGTGCACCGAAATAGAAATTTAAAAACCAAAACGAAATGGAAAATACAAAAAAATTGTCAGGCCTAAACCGAAAATGTTTTTATTTTTTCAAATTTTTTAATATTTTATTTTTATTTATTTTTAATAAACTTTAAAAGTTTTAATATTTTTTTTATTTATTTATTCATTTTTTATTCAATATTTTTATTTTTTACTTTACTTTTAGGGGCTTCGGGGAAAAAGTAAAGTAAACAGACCCCTTGTATTTCCCTTTTAAAATAGAAAAAGAGATTGAGAACCCAGAGTTCTCAATCTCTTTTTCTGTATCCCCTGTTATAAATGAACAGGAATCCTCTATGAGTGTTCCTGTTCATTCATAACTTGAGAATATAGTATGTTTACTATAACCCCAATTATGAGTGAACAGGAGGTGATGTAGATCACTTCCCATTCATTCATAATTGAGGATACAGTACACATACCATGTCCTCAATTATCTACAAACACTCAGCGATCACTGATCGCTGAGTGCTTGTTACCTGCTCTCCTCTCTGACACGCTGTCACAGGAGGCTGAGTGAGCGGTGCGAGAGGAGAGCCCAGCCTCTTGTGACAGTGATGTCTCCGCCCCCACACCGCTCTGCCGCACTGTGATAGGCGGCTGAGCGGGGTGGGAGGAGAGACAACGGCCGCTCACAGCGCTCTCCTCACGCAGCACTCAGCCGGCTGTCCCTTTCTCTCCTCCCCGCTGGGACACAGAGCAGCGCCCAGCAGGGAGGCAAGAAAGCAGGGATGCACCGATGTATCGGCCGGAAAATGGCACTTTTGGCATTTAGCGGCCGATATATCGGTGCATCCCTAATCACAATGTTTGACATGACCAACAGTTCTGCATTGTATGTGAGTAGGTCGAGGGCCTGCCCACATTGCAGAAGTGGAGGAAAGCAGAGGATAGCACTGTTAAGTTTTTATGGCCAACTGGTGTTCAGCTATAACAGAAGCCCCACTGACCTCTGTAGCTGCAGGCACTGTGGAACAATTAATCCTCAAAGTTTACAAGAGAAGCAGTGAAGTCCTTTAACCTCCCTGGCGGTATGATTATTCAGGATTTTAGCATCCCAAAGCGGTACATTGTTTTTCATGGAAATTTGTTGTTTTATATTGTAGGCCTGTAATTCTTAGTAAATCTTAGGAATAACTCACCTAAATCTGTCCAAACAAGAGTCCAGTAGACATCCCAGGTATGATAAAGTTTGAAACACGAAATTAAAAAATGATAATATAATAAATTATAAATAATTATAAGAAATTATAATATAATAAATAATTATAAAAAATTATAATATAATAATTTAAAAAAATGGTCCAGTAAATGGGAATTCTGGGGGCGCAGCCTGATCCGTACCACAGTCAATAGAGTACCAAGTTCGCACATCACTGAGCTCGGTCGCAGAATCGTCGCTGTTTTAGGTCAAAAGCGGTTTTAGACCAGGTAGAAAACAGCGATAGTAAATTAGAACTACTTGCAGAATTGAGTGATAGCGATTCGTTGGGAAATTCCTCAACAGACACTGAAAGTGAGGACAGCGAGGATTCTGCGACCGAGCTCAGTGATGTGCGAACTTGGTACTTTATTTACTGTGGTACGGATCAGGCAACGACCCCAGAATTCCCATTTACTGGACCATTTTTTTAATTATTTTATTATAATTTTTTATAATTATTTATTATATTATAATTTCTTATAATTGTGAAAAAGTGTCAGGCAGGGCACTGGACAAAGCTCTAGGGACAAAATTGAAGTGAAATAGTTTGATACATAAGTGTAATCATAGCAGATTACATTGTATTGTGTGTATTCTGTGTACATTACAACTTTTCACTTTTGAATTTCCCGCCGGCTGTGACGCCCGAAAACGAAACGAAAAGTCAGATGCCGGCATCGGCCGGCCGCGTACAGCAGAGTACACCGCGGGCTCCCAGGGACAAGGTAAGTGACACTTTTCTGTGCATTCCCGAGCTCGGGGTTACCTCTCTTGTTACTGAAAAGACTCGGGAATACCGCCAGGGAGGTTAAGTCACTTCACAGCACTTTGCTCTCCACCTCCTTTTGTGCACATGTTCTCTGTTTACATTAGAGATAAGAATGCTTCCAGCCTGCCAAGTCACTTCTGGAAAGGGAAGCAGAATGAGCTGAGCTGCTGAAATATTTTTGAGGATAAATTACTCCCTAGGACCTGCATCTACAGAGGTCAGTGAGGGTGTGTCCTATAGATTATTTACTGTTTGCTAAGAATATATAAATATTTGAATACACATAGTTTGGCCACAGTTCCACTTTAAATATATAGGATTTTGTTATAGTCAATTAAATGTGACACCTTCATTTTCAAGTGCTTTGGCAGGAGCAATTACTACTAAACATAAAGAAGTCTGATTATGTAAAGCTGGACTTAAAGCAAACGAGCTAAATCCAGCTAAGTACACTGATGAAATATAGCACATATATGAGAGCTGCTTTTCCTGTTGCACCTATGTCCATCGAGTCCTGATATTTACACAGAGGAAAGTTCTGTCTGGCCAGGGAGGGGACCTATAATTTCTTTGCTGCAGTTTTACTTTTACCTACAGGTTTCCTCACTTCCCCAAGCCTGAGACTGGAGAGTAAAAGGAGAACTAGAACACTGATAAGATCACCTCTATGTCACCATTAGGGCAGCCATCAGGGGAGTACGGACGATACTCATGTAAGGGGCCCGGGCAGCCTTGGGGGCCCGCCCGGAACCCTTACATGAGTATCGGCCGACAGTGAAGAGCGAGGAGGCGGACGGGCCCCTGCAGCGGAGGCCTGGCCCAAGCAGTGCAGGGCCCCAGCATTGCCGCTCCATCGTTTTCGAGACAAGCTGGGGCCCCATCAGCGACGCTGCTCGTGATGTCACTTCCGGCCAGTCCGGCGTCAGAGGAGGCCTGTTCAGTTCTGCGTCCAACGGGTCACTCAGTTCTGCGTCCAACGGGTCACTCAGTTCTGCGTCCAACGGGTCACTCAGCCCTGCGTCCAGCGGGTCACTAAGCCCTGTTGCGGTGTGGTGGCGGGGGCCCGGCCTAAAGCCGTGTAAGCCCAAAATTTCTGATGGCTGCCCTGGTCACCATGCTATCTCCTCCAAGCTGACTGGCTTCCTGTGCTGCTTCTTCCTACTCCTCACTAAGTTTTGTTGTTTAAAGACTGCTGATAGCAAGTTCTGTTGACTAAATATGTACATTTTTCAGAACTAAAGTAACAGCAGCACAGTGCTGTAGCCATCAACAGAAGTTTATTGTTTTCTGTGCTGACCTGATCCGTACGCTCCTGCACTAAAAATGCATCCCAATGTATCCCTATGTGTTTTATGGGCTACAGTTCTCACGTGTGCAGTCCGTTCAGGTTACGACAGAAAAAGACTGCATGTCACATTTTGTACAGTCAGGAAACGGTTCAGAAATGCAAAACACGTTAAAAACGCACTGCACTGCAGTTAACATGCTGACAGCCCCACTCCAGCAAAAAAAAAAATATATATATTTTTTTTACTGGAACGCATCAAGAACGTGGCAAAAACACATAGCACCTCGCCGGCAGATCCGCACCTGATCCAGACCTGAAACTCATGTGGACACACCATTTATTGGCTAACTAAATAGACTGTAGTGTAAGCTTTCAAAGCATGCTGGCCTCTTCCTCAGGCAATATGCTTCAGGTGTACTGACTTGGGGGAACTGGGTTCGCATCAAGGCCAGGGTCATCTCCGGTCAAGAACACACCTATAGCCTGCTGAATGGACAATAAAGGAGCAGCAGTACAGCAATGGGGTCATGTCTTTGCTGTCTCTTTCTATCAGCATGTTTACATGTGCTCTACACAAAGTCTCAATGGCTCCTAGTGCTGGCCCTCCCAATGCAGGCCGGGCATCAAGTCAATTGTGGGTATTTGCACTAATTGTTTTAAAAAATTCATTTAAATCAAACTTGTCACCTGGGCAACTGATACTGAGCACAGGATGTAAAAAAAAAAGCATAAGTAGCGGTTACCTTTAGTAAAAAATGTCAAAAGATATAGAGTATATACAGTATACAGCTTGGGTTAGATGCAAATTTCTACATACACATTCAAGGTATAAAACTCCCCATAAGCTCCTGTGAACCTTGAAGAACTGAGGGTGACTAGGTACATGTGAGGAAGTGCTCTGCTGCTTCTAATCAGAAATTAGATACTAAAAGTACAAGATTATACTAATTGCTTTACCATAATAAATTGTGCAAGTTAATTCCTGCTAGACAGCAAAACGTTAGATTTTAAACAGATTTAAACCCCAACTGAATGGTATTTAGGTTGCTAGAGCATTGTGTATTATAAAACACTGCCAAATTTTTTGAAATAAAATACTGTTTTTAGCCCATTTAGCATCTCAATGCTACTGATCTCCTCCAGCCTCTCAGTCACTTCCTGTCTACATACACTTGCCATAGTAATCACTAGGGATGCGCCAATACCTTTTTTCGGTATCGAGTACGAGTACCGATACTTTGCTTTTGGTACTCGTCAATACCGAGTACCGATACCGTTGCTTCCGCTGGCATGGACCCGGCTTCCTGGGCAATCTGATTGTCCGAGAAGCCAGCTCCATGTTGTCTGGCCGGCTTGATTGTGCTTGACCGGGAAACTGGCTTCCCAGCCAATCAGCATCAAGCCAGGTTTCCCGGGCAATCAGGAAGTCAGGCGGTGAGTAATGACCCGCCTCCCAGCTTCCTGATTGGCCGGGAAGCCGGCTCGACGCTGATTGGCTGGAAAGCCGGCTTCCCGGC